CTGCTTTACATTGGGGCCCCATGGTTGCCAGAAACAGCATGGTCAGAGCAAAGCAGTTCAAGATCCAGGCCATCTTTCTGAAAACAGGATAACCAACATATTGTATTTGCAGAGAAAGACTGTTGGGACAAGTAAAGCTTATAAATCATAGCAAAAGTACATTTATACTTAAATTTTTTCCAATTCTTGGATTACCTCATGTTTATTATTTCTGACTGGAGTACAGCTTTAAGATAAATGTTTGCTATTGATATAACAAGGCTGGAAAACTGAATTAGTGCATTCAAAAAAGTACCTAAGGGCATGTACAAATCAAAATGTTTTATTTACATTATACTCCATTTATATACGAGTAAAGTTGATCATAGGAAAATTGTATTTAATAACATTGTGCAAAAAAGATACAGTACTACCACCCATGCAGGCAGACAGAAGTCTTTATTTTTTATTTTTCTGACCACTGTAAACCACAGGTGGCTGGCCGGTGGGGTGTAACACGCAGCTGCACTTAGTAACATGCTTTTTAAGCATTTTTAGAGGTGTCTCAAATCATGTATAATGTCAACTGTCTCTTTAAAAGGACATTATCGTCATGTTTTAAGATTAGTAGTATCATTAATGTTTTGATTACATTTATCATATAAAATATTTGTGTATTTTCCTTTACAATATGTCTTGTCCTATACTTCCTGAATCCTCCATTCACCTCACAGCAGAAAGGCCTCCGTTTCTCCATTAAGTGGGGCTCTCTCAACCCCCAACCTGACAAGGAGAACTGCTCACCCTGCGCTAGAATTTCACCTCCTCCAATGACTGTGGCAGGGCCATAGGAAGGGCGGGGAGAGTGAGGCATTCGCCTTGGGCACAGCTGCGAGGGGAAGCAGCCAGGGCTGGGCCTGGTGCCCAGTGGGGGCGAGAGGTGGGCGGATGCTTTGGGATTTGGATGTATTGCTGATCGTATCACATTACCATCCAATTCACTTGCAGCTCTGCCGCTTATTGGCTGGTTCCCAGGTGAGGGGGGAGTTAAGAGTGACTGCAGTGTTGATTGCTTCAGTTTACCATAGAGATGCCCAGTGGATATTGGCTGGTTCCCAGGAGGCGAGGAGTCGAGGACGGCTGCAGTGCTAATTGCCTCACTTATTGGCTGATGCACAGAGTTCCCAGCCGGCAATTGGCTGTCAGCTAATGCTGCTTAAAGGCAGCTTAAAACTCCTTGCACCAGTCAATGAAGCATCACACCTTTGACCCTCACATGACCTCTCCCTCTATACCCCTCACACGGAGCTAAAAAGTGCTGAGAGGTGGCAAGGAAGACTTGGGGATGATGGAGACCTGGGAATTAACTATGTAATTGGGAGAATTTTCTGCCATAAACTGCTCTATCCCCTCATGAAGTAAGCAATTGGTATCCTGTACGTGTAGTTAGCACTTAAATCCAGGGAATTGTATGATATTTGGCAAAGAAATATAAATACAAATGCAGTGATCTGGATCACAAGAGGAACTTCAATGCTAATCCATTGGGACTATTTTCTGCCATAACCTGCTCTTTCCCCATCACCCCCTTAAAAAAATCCCTTTACTTCTCTTTGCTCTTTCCCCATCACCCCCCTTAAAAATCTACTTGCCTTCCCTTCTCTGTCCCCATCACTACTTAAAAATCAGTTTTACTCCCCCTACTCTGTCCTCACCGCCCCTTAAAAATCAATTTTACTCCCCTGCAGTGTCCTTGTCACTCCATGTCCCCATCAGCCCCTTAAAATCCCTTTTACTCCCGATTTGTCCCTATCACCCCATAAACAGTTCTAATATAATCAATTTCCTTGTTATTTATTTACTTTCCTCAAAATAACCTCAGGGGGGGCACAATTTTCTGTTTTTCCCTCGGGCGCTAAAGGAGCTACCTACAGCTCTGGACTGTGGAAGTATCAATATAGATGATCACAGAAAGCCCAATCTCAGATCCGCAGAACTTTTACAAGACTCCTGCAGGCTGTATATTGTATCCTGCATGACACTTTAATTATTTTTAGCAAATGCAAAGGGAAACAGTAAAAGCTCAAAAATGCTAATTTTACAGCATAATGAAAAATGTGTGTGATTAAAGCCAGAGACCTCTTCATGTGGTTTACTTTTGCTCTAGTTCATTGGTTTCCCTGTTAGCAAATCTTTGAGTTTACTGGTATACTCTAGCCAATATTTAACCTTGAGGTGTATAAAGGAAACATAGACCAGCTGCTGAGTAGGCCACTATTTTCATCCAGAGATTTCAGTAGTGAACCAGTCCTTCCCACTTACTTTTCTGTGTAATGGTTTCACAGTTGCCCAAAAGGGGCAGTAGAGCCCAATGGTTACAGAGCTGCCCAAAAGGGACATTAGAGCCCAGTGGTTACAGAGCTGCTCAAAAGGGACACTAGAGCCCAGTGGTTACAGAGCTGTTCAAAAGGGACTATAGAGCCCAGTGGTTACAGAGCTGCTCAAAAGGGACTATAGAGCCAATGGTTATACAGCAGTCTACAAGTAACCAGAGGGACCAGCAATATTAAGTTTGGGAAGATGTTTGTGAAGCTTTCACATGTTAAGATCTATATGATGAATATATACTAGTCATATGTTTTGTATTAAAATAGTCATACAAATATAAGTAAATAACTGGCAGCAAAATATGACATGTTTTAGTTTTCCTTATTTTGGTGGTAGTGTCCCTTTAAGTTCAATGATATGTGATAATGCGATTCAGTGACTGATTATTATTTTTTTGTGCTGTTTGTCATTCTATACATCAATTTTGTAATGATTTTCTATATAAATGGCTTATGGAACAAGATGGATCTTCTATAGTACACGAGAACAGTGTTTACTTCTTAGTGTTAATAGGAAAGATGCACTAATGATTTAACATCATTATGCAAACCTTTACCAAAGTCAACGTGAGTAATGCAGGGAGTTAAAGAACTGTATATTCCACTATGCATAGAGAGATTAGCAATGTACAAAATAAATTATTTAGTTAAAGGTACAGAAGGGAAACAGGAAAGAACTTTGTTTATACAGACTGATAGCCTGTACGGCTTTTTCTTCTTCCAATAAGATAAGAGATAAAGACCAGGATTATAAGAAAGACAAGTACAGTCCCAACCGCAATTGGAATGAGAAAGCTCAAATCACAGTCAGCAAAGCATTCTTCAGCTGTTGAGAAAAAGAGTATATTGTGAGAGCCAGACTATGCATCAAGCTGTTATTAAGAGCAGTGGAAAAGGGGGAAAGTAAGGTGTATTTGTACTGCGCACAAATTGTATGTTATCGTTGCAGTATTTACGTTAAAAACATTCTGATTTGTAGAAAAGACACTAGAAGGAGTAATCATTCATTCTACAATTACTCTGCATATCTTCCTGTTAAGATACCAGCCACACAGGGAGTGTATTGTTTGAGGCCTTGTTCACACCGAAAGCATGTGCGTGCATTGAATTCAATGTACGCGTGGTGTGGCGTAGCGGTGCATTGAATTCAATGGCACCGTTTCCACGCCCCGCCCGCAGTGTGATCGAACGCGTGGCAAAACTTTGCCAGCGTTTCGTTCCACTGCAAACGCAAAAAATAGATCTACAATGCACCGCCACGCCCCCTCCCACCCCAAAACACAAGGGGAAGTTTCTCCGCGATCGCGGTGCGGTCCAGCAGCTACCGCTCTGGAACGCACACGCTGTCGGTGTGAACAAGCCCTTAGGGGCTGATTAATAGATGTTCCACCCATTTCCTATGCTCACCAACAAGAACTAAACTACTGACAGGTTTGGAAAGGTCCCAGGGCTGCTATCCTGATGCTAGAATTCTGACCTAGACAAGCCTGCATGACAGATATTTAGCTCTTACTGGCTGCATGCTTTTTGCAGGTCTGTGACTCACTAGGTAGAGAAGCTTCTTAGGAATCCCTGCCAAATGCTAGTTTTTCCCTGTCGCTGGGACTTCCTTTGTCTTAACTGGGAGCACCCATGCAGGTAGCACACTTCTGTTATTGGAATAAACATGCACAGGAGGTAGTGTCAGAAGGTCAGATCATGCATGCACATCCAACCATTCTATAATGGTCAGATTTTCACTTTTTCCATCTGGCCATAGAACATCTGCCGATAATCGGATCTAGAGTGCCTAATACAAAAGGTTTTTCTAAAGCAGTGCAGTTAGTGGAAATTTGCTTGAACCTGAACAGTTTGGATTCTTGGAGTTGCTGAGTATTATGGAGACCCTCCAAGTGTTTGATCTTTTTAGTAGAAATATATAACCAAGTCACCAGCAAAAAAAAAAAGCCGATCAGCCCTGGAAGAAATTAATTTGTCTCTTTAATATCTGTATGAGCAACACCTTTATGAGATATGGGGCCAGTAAATAAGACTAAAGAAAACACAATTAAAGTCTAACCACACTGAGTTTTGAAACACAGGGAACATCCTCAAGATGAGCCACTTTAGGAAAGTATCATTCCTTTTGTATGTTTCTGTACCTGATAGCAAGGTAATTTTTTTAAATACCTTGCAGATCTCTGCAGAATCAAGCACTTCTGCTGGTCTGTAGAATTCTTTATTCCCACCAAGCCTACACTCGCCGATTATTGCCACCTGAGCTTCCCCATTATAGCCACCACAAATGACTGGGTGCCATTAGTATTTTCATAACATTTCAACACCTTTTGACATTGCAAAAAAATTACAGCAAACACTCACAAAATATGTTACAGCCTACAAAACCTTTCACAATTTGCTACAATATGTGCAGCTCTTTGCAAGAAAAACACTTGTTTTTGAAGAAGGTTATATAAAATGTAAACATGCTTATATAAATGGTAAGGCACTTTATTGGTACATTCTGTGAGCACATAATAAAGCATCAAGTACATAGGCGCATACTCTGAGACAAAGAATTACATTAAAAACTGTGAAATACATTCATGATTGCATATTTGTAAGAAGATAATTGATTTGTTCAGTGGTCAGTTATTTTTACAGGTATTAAACAAAATAAAGCAATATGTACAGTGGGCAGTTTTGCTCAATGTGAATTTTTAGCAAAATACTTTTTGGCTCTCCTAAAAACTTTAAAAATGTTCATATCCAGCTGAACGGCGATTCCTGCGACCAATGAAATAAGCCACGATCACTAGGATTACAAGGGCTCCCAATGCAGCTCCCACGACTATCGGCACAGTGAAATTCTGATCTGCAAAGCAATCTTCAGCTACATGGAGAAGAGGCAAAACAAAAACAAAACCACAAAACAAAATAAAAACAGCACCAAAAAAATAACTAAATGCAATGCATACTTTATATCGAAATAAAAAAAAAAAGGGATCAACTGTTAACAAAGATCACCCAGAACACGGAGATCACTAAGAAAGGATTGAGAATCACTATGCTAAAATCTCAAGTGTCAGTCTTAACAAAAAATTAAAATTACTGCTGCCAAATAGAATGTGCTAGTGGTGCCTGCACATAGTTGCAGAAGCTTTCGATTCAACCACGGGGCCCGAATGCCAGGACATTTTATTCAGACAAAGCTTTGGCGTTCTGTGGTAGTGTCAAAGCTTGCCTGCCCCCTACCAGGCATTCCTATTGGCCAGTGAGGCAGGCCATCATAAAGATGGACCAATAGAGATAAATAGGAGGTGGGAGGGAGTGGGCAACAATACAGAAGTGTTGGAGGTTTGCTTGACTGGAACAGCCTAGCATTTAAACAGAGCAGAATGACTGAAAACTGCTGTAGGCCTCTAGGTACTTGCACTATACACCTGTCACCATTTTTTTTAAGTGGCCTTTACTTTAACCTAAAAAAGTCTTGTTGGCATATTTATCTCTGCTGTGTCCGGATTCTCTGTGATAAAGACCAACTTATAAAAATGGGGAGGTGTTTGTAAGACATATGAACACTGTCAGCTGCTACCTCTTATTCAATAATTTGCTCAGATCCTACAGTTGTGTGAAAAAGAAAAGTACACCCTCTCTGAATTCTATGTTTTTAAGTATCAGGACATAATAAAGATCTGGTCCTTAGCAGGTCTTTAAATTAGGTAAATACAACCTCAGATGAACAACACACATGACATATTACACTATCATTATTTTACAAACATAAGCCAAAATGGAGAAGCCATGTGTGAAAAACTACACACTCTTACTGCTTCCATAGGAATTAAGGAGGCTAATCAAATGCCCTTGATTAACTGTTCATCAGCAAGTGTGACCACCTCTAGAGCTAACGTTTTAGCAGTTTGCTGGCAGAAGCATTCAGGCATGTGTTAACACAATGCCAATGAAGCAAGACATCAGCAGTGATCTTAAAGAAGCAAGTGTTGCTGCCCATCAATCAGGCAAGGGTTATACGGCCATTTCCAAATATCATTCTACGCTGAGGAAGATTATTCACAAGTGGAAAACATTCAAGACAGCTGCCAATCTTCTCAGGAGTGGACATCCCAGCAGACTCACCCTAAGGTCAGGTCGTGCAATACTCAGAAAAACTACAAACAAACAAGGAGTTACATCTAAGACTCCACAGGTCTCAGCATGTTAAGTGTTAAAGTACAACGAGAAAAAGACTGAACAAGTAAAGTTTGTTTGGAAGGGTTTCCAGCTCATTTTAGGTTTGCAAACTTTTTATCTGAGCAAACCGCAAAAGTTCTGGAACAATGTCTCTTTGACAAATGAGACTGGGCTTGTTTTGCAGCCACAGGACCTGGGCACCTTGCAGTCAATGAGTGGACCATGAACTGCTCTGTATACCAAACTATTCAAGAGTCAAATGTAAGGCCATATGTCCGACAGTTAAAGCTTGAACGATATTGTTATGCAACAGGACAATGATCCCAAGCACATCAGCAAATCTACAATAGAATAGCTGAAAAAGAAAAGAATCAAGGTGATGCAATGGCCAAGTCAAAGTTCAGACCCCAACCTGATTGAAATGCTGTGGTGGGACCTTAAGAGAGCTGTGCATAAACAAATGCCCACAAACCAATGAACTGAAGCAACATTGTAAAGAGAGGGCCAGAATTCGTCCACAATGAGGTGAACGACTGATAGTCACAGAAAAGGACTACTTTCAAGTTATTGCGGCTATAGGTGGATCTACAAGCTATGTCATTGTTGTGTGTTGTTGTTCATCTCAAATCATATGATTTTTATTGTGTCCTGATACTTCAAACCATAGACTTCAAAGAGGGTGTGCTTGCTTTATCAGACGACTGTATATGTGATTTTCATTTCACTAAGGCTACTAAGTCAGTCCCAAATAATGTGTGCAGACATAACGGGTCACAACATGTACAGTGCACAAAAGGTTGAGGAAAATTAGTGTAATGCTCCTAGAAATATACAATAAAAAGAGGCTCAGTAGGGGAAGACATTTACTCAGCCCAGTACAGGTTTTTTTCATTATTTCTTGACCCTGTGAGTGTTAGTAGATTAGAATGTGGAACAATTAGGTAGGACAGGCTTTACAATTATTCTGGACCTCAGAACATCATGCAACAATAACCGTGTACCTAGTCATACTCTATAACATGGATGAGGCTTAAGGGTCCAGGGGTATGGCTTTATTTAAAGTGTAAATAAAGAAGAAAAAAAAAGTCAGGCTTTCTACAACAGAAGAGAGTAAGTCTCTTTTGCCATAGAAACTTCTTGCTGCCATTTAGCATTTTTTTTTTTTCTGAGGTACTCATGCACAGCTTAGTGCACAGACCCAACATCCCAAATGCCCATGTGCAGAAGTTACATTATTCGGGCCCTGCCAATCAACGGCTGAAAACCTGGAAGATGATCTGGGGATAAGATGAAAGTTCTGGCAGGGGAGAAGTCCAGTGCTAGAGGGGACTGATTTGGCAGGTAAGACTGCCATAATCATGCTGTGCATACTAGCACATTCTGGCTAAATGCTCCAGGCTTCCCCCTTTTTTCAATGCTTTACTTTAAGAAGCCAAGCTTAATATTGCAAATCCAAAAACTTCAAATACAAGCTCAGTACCTATAGAACAACCTTACTACAACAGCAGTTTAATAAGGCTTGTTTATGCAGAGGTGTACTTTAAGTTATAAACATACTCAAGTTTGACATATCATCTAGTCAGAGCCCTGGTATAGTCAGATGTTTTCAGAAATCTACTATGTCAATGTGTGCATAGTATAGCCTGCCGTGTTCCATGTGGTTACAATCCCAATAGTTCCTATGCTGCAGAATTCTTGTCTACCACTATTGGTAAAGTACTGTGTTGGAGATAGCACTAGATGCATTCAATAATGCTGCAAGCTTACACTGCAAAATTATTATTCACACAATGAACATATATGTAATGCAAAAGTTGAAAATATTAAGCAATATGGAGATTCAAATAGTTTGTCCAAAATTCTGGAATATTTTTATTTAGAGACTATAATCTTTGCAATAGTTTATGTTGCACTAGAACAATGTCCAGCATCCCTGGAGTATATGCCCTACCTCCGTGGCTTTAAATAAGCTTTTAACACCAGATATAGTGAACTGTCCTTTGCTGACTTTGACAACGTTGAATATAATTAAGAAATACAGTAACTTATGGGCCCTATCCTCTTCAAATGCTGATCTCTCCAAGGTCTGCACGCAACATGAGCAACTCCACTAATGGAGTGCCAAGGGTGGTTTATGATGGTTAGCATCCATGTATATAGAACAGATGACAGCAAGGAGAGGACATGACAAACCTGGCCTACCTGAAAATGCAAAAATTTGCCAGGCATAGGGGTTGATTTACTAACCTTATAAACACACCATGAACATGTATACACCTTTGTAGTGTGTACACACCCAGCAAGTGTGTTGGGCAAAGCCAAGCATAAATTGCAAGGTAATGTTATGTAAATTAGCTCTATGTTGTGTTGCTTGCGTTGATGAATGCAGGAATGTAAATGCATGAGCTAACCATTTTTGTCTAAACTGTGAAGCAGCATTATATATGCATCATGTGCATGATTTTTCCATATATGGCATTAGTGGAAATATGCTTAGAGACTTTTTGGTTGATAAATACGTTTTGCTGTGTGAAAATCACACGCACCTGGTGCGTGCGTGTGTTTAGGTTAGTAAATCACCCCCATAGTATTTAAAGGGTACAAAAGATTGGGTTGATTTACTAGAACATGTTCACTTTGCCAAGTGATTTTCACATTGCTTAGAGAATCAGGTGAAACCAAATGAAAATTCACGTTGCAAAAATAGCCAATCACATCCAAGGAATATGGGAAAGAAAGAGGATCTTTGCAACTGATTGAAACAGAGCTTCACCTTATTCACTGAGGCCCGGTTCACACCTGGGCGTTTTGTAGCGTGTTCCAACGCTCTGCAAAACGCTCAAACACCGAAATCCCATTATTTCCTATGGGTATGGATCACACCTGGGCGTATTACAGGCCATATGAAAGCGCTACAAAACGTCCTACGCCCAAAGTACAGGAGCTTCTTTGGGACGTTTTGTCACGCGTTCCATTGGGATACAGCCAAGTAGCCCTCGGAAACACGCATTTGTCACGCTTTTTTTTTTATCACGGTAAAAACACACGTGACAAACGCACATATTCAATACGCTTAGGTGTGAACCCAGCCTAAGCTAAGTGAAAACTTAGATTACAAACATGCTTATTGCTGGTAGTAAATCAACCTAAAGTGTCACAGACATTTCCTCCCAAGTTGTAAATCCAGTGCTAATGGTTTAGAATTGGAGTGCCTGATGTTTTTTTGTTTTTTTTTATTAGATTACATGTAATGTAGTTCTGTATATAACATACAGTTACCCAATGCAGTAAGACATTCTGTTTTATTAAAGGGAATGTCCACTTTACATTAAAACTGGATCCTTAGGACATTAAATTTGGTCTATAGGCAGAGGATAATGATGTCATGTAAGGGTGACGGGATGCCCCTGTGGGGCAGGAGTGACCCCGAGAAGGGCTATGATGTCGGCTTCAGGACCTACTATTGTTTTTCTGTATGCTTGGATCGTTTTCCCTTCTAAATGTGTATTTGCTCTCGATGCCTTGTTTGTTTGTTGCATTTCATATCTTGCTGAAAGCAATGTGTTCTTGTAATATGTTTAAAAATCTTAATAAAAAATACATTATAAAAAAAAAAAAAAAGACTGGATCCTTGTTTGTGACCTCTATCCTCCCCATAATGCAAACAAAATCTGCTACAGCAGTCTGTGTACAGCGATA